GGCAAATTAACATATAATGGATGTATTCCGAGAGCCCCCGGGAATATTCGAAAACCGTTGGGCCAAAGGTCATTGTTAAAAATGGCGTCCCTGGAAAGTTGTATATGCATTTGCAAAGAAGATGTTTTAATTCAGTGGAAGTAAATGAAATTGAAGAAGTCATGATTGGAGAGGATATATTTTGTTTTAAAACCGTGACACCTGGATAATAGCGAAGGAAAGAAGTCATGCAATATCGACAAAAAAATCTAAAATAGTTCAAGTTTCCGTCGTCTACTGCATGCGTGGAGTACTCCGGCGGGACATAGTTTTAACACCATTGCAAAGACCGAAATGTAGGCCTCAATTTAAACTAACAAGTGGTGGGCCAATTTGGTGCAACCCTGCGAAGACAGCAGTTGAAATAAGCCCTAACCTAATCAAAGAATGTTTAAACAGACAAGATAAAGTGATTGACTCGACTAGAAACAAAGTAAATTTAATTCTCTTAAACCTGTTGTAACTTCTCCTGTCTTTTACCTCCATGGTTAAAGTATGCTCATCCAATTTTGTTAGTCTCTCAATATGTATGTCAGTGTTCTTATTTTCTGGTTGAAGGTTGAGGAAAAAATCATAACAAACACTGCTGGTAAGGTTCCTAGGAACATTACAATATTGCAAGAGAGATTAACAGTTTTCCTGAATAATTTACTTAGGTGCGCACTGTAATGTCATATGTGAAGTACAGTGGACAGGACATGACCCTTTGTACGTGCTGTGGTCATTTTGATTTGTTTGTTTTTTATTGAAGCTCAAATCCTGAAAGTCTATTTGTGATTACGAAGGGAAATGATAAGGGCATTTGACAGAGAATTCATGAGATTGTCAAACATTTAGCAAATAATCATATATGTATTGTATTTTAGGATCGAGGTGCTCCAGAAGCAGCCCAGAAGTCATTTAATGAAGTGCCATTTGAAGCTCAATTTGCAACAGAAAACCCAAATTTTAAGAGATTAAATGATATGCCTGGAGCAGATGGATTTACCATGAAAGTAGACGCTTTATACAAGGCAAGTTTTTTGGTTATCAATAAAAATAATATTTTGTTAATTAATATTTGATAGTCAGTGTGCATTATGCTTTTACAAATTGTTAGACATAATTTGGTTAATAATTTACTTGAGTTAAGGTTGCCAATGTTATGCAAATGAATCTTGCATTTAGAATTTATTGATGCGGAAACATGAAGCAGTAACATTTGTTTTCCAAACAAACATAGAAGGAGGAATGTCCATGATTAAGACCTCATCTTTAAAGTGCCTGTGCAATGCCCACCCTCACGTTTCCCATTTTAGATCTGTGTCCCACTGAAATGGGCAGTTATTGATTTTTTTGCTGAAACTGATTACTCGTATCCAAGTTAATTTGGGATATTTCTCGTGTTGTAGCCACGCCCACCTATCCTGAAACGGTCGACTGTTTCCGGATTTCCGACTCTCGCCGAAAGTCATACCCCTGAGCCGTAATAACACTGGTCATTCAATATACTTTTAAACGATATACATTTTTCGGTCGGCGTTTTTTTTTTTCTTTTTTTTTTTCTTTTTTTTTTGTCTATGTTTTTTTTTTCGAGAGAAAGAGTTTTTAGATGTTGTGTTATGGGCAGTTGCAGTGAAACGTATAGTCATAGTGTAAGTATTCACACGTTTCTAATCGATCCGAAAGTGCGACATCAGTGGACGAAAGCCACTTAACCTCAGCTTCTTTTTTTGGAAAAACTGTCCTCGTCCATGAAAAAAACGACTAGGTTTAAAGAGAAACGCCGACAACAT